TCTTAGGACACTGAAATGACGCTTGTGTCAGCAACGTCTGTTTCGACGCAAACACTTCACTGACATTCTGGAAGTCGCTGACTTCATTTTTGATCAGATCAATGAAAGTGGAATTATGCATGGATACAGATGGATGCATTTGAAATGTCTGCAAGCTGGCAAAGTCGTTCAACGAGACACGGTTTATGCCGTTATGAAGATCCTAGATCCTGATGGTCTGCAACTTCGGAGAAGAGGCAGGCTCATAAGAAGGGAATACTTCGCAAGGGGACCCAACTACTTGTGGCACCTGGACTCCTATGACAAACTTAAGACGTATGGGTTGCGCATCAATGGGTGCATTGATGGGTTTTCGCGTCAGATAGTTTGGCTAAACTTTACCCTTTCCATATGACTGGATATCCCTCTCTCTCTCTCAAAAAGGAAAATAAATATAGAAAACCCACTTAATACCACTCAACGGAGTTCCAAAATTATTGATTGTCATTGTGAAAGTCTTAAGTAGGCCTATGTGTATGGCTGCTGCAATTTTGACTACTTTATAATTATAATTCTAATGTATAATTCAATCAAAAGTTATGATGCTCGAACATACCGAATGTGAGTAAAAGATGTGATATAACCTAAATTTCTTATTTGTCTTTTTTTGTAATAGAATGATCTTGATAGGATGTCGTCTGTCTGGAACTGCCATCGCATACGACGTTCAAAGAATCAGAACGTTCCCAACGGAAGACCTGTAGTTCTCTTTTCCATGCCAGAATTGTTTGGCCGACGTGACTACTTGAAGCCAGTTGACCAGGAACATATCGAAGCCTGCTGCACCGAGTGTACCTTCAGGGATGGCCTTCCGTGTGACGAGGAGTTATTTGAACTCTTCATTATTTACATGACTGAACATTCTTTGGAACATCCTGGCAATGTAGAGCAGGCACTGCAGCTTTACCACGCGCTGCGTGATGCCATTCGACAGGATCTGGAACAGTAATATATAGACCTATATAGTTTCTCACAATACTGTCAGTGTCGGTGATACGTGCTGCCAAGAAACGACTTGTGGATCAGTAATGAGATGAATTATTGATGTTATATGAAAAACTCCAATTTGTAAAAAAGAAGCACATGTCACGAAGTAGACATCAATTACAAAAAGGCCATTAATGAACCTCTTAAAGTTGAAATTGGTGTACTAAGTTGTCAGTTTTCTGAAATCAAGTACATGGAATTATTGAAGTAATTGAGTAGGATAAACAGCCAACGTCAAGGATAAACAGCAACGTCAAAAAAAAAATGGCCGATATCCCACTCAGCCCAGCCAGACGTTATTAAAATATCAAGCAACAGGTTTCATGTGTGTTGGTGGGGGTGAGGGACCTTCTGCTGAGCAACCCCAGCAAATAAGGCGAAGTACACTATGTCTGCACCCCTGGACCCATTCTTAGAACATAGACTCGAATGCCATGAATGACGTACAGACAAATCTATGTAGATTACACTACTAATTACATTCTTACCTATTTCTTAGTTTTGTTTATGTATAAGTCTATTTCCAGGTGTTTTTTTTATATATTTGATTGCAGCACTTTTGGAAAACTGCATTGTTCAAAGAATGTTCAAACTAACCACAAATGAATATACAGAGTGAAACCAACATTTCTAACGGAAATTTTCTGTGATTCCCAGTTTAATTGCCTGGCAAAAACTACTTTTATTACAATCCACGTCACTTTTTAATTAAAAACGATTAAATAAACACTTCACTTTTTTTATAATTTCAACGAGCAAAACCAAAACGCTATATCAAAACTTCAACAATATCTAACACGAGCAACTGCCTGCAAATGTAACACCTCAGTCACCAATATAATTATGCAATGAAATTTGGGACAAATATAATCTAAATGTGTGAGCAAAACGTCTTTGGAAAATCGAAAAGGTACGATTTGCTTTTCCTGTTGAATTTGTATTTCAACGGAACTAATTTACATTTTGGGCGAGTTACCTTTGCACGATTTGTACAGGACGCGAAATATGCATCGCCAAATTAAAGTGCTTTATAATTAGGATTTTGTGACGTATGTAAAATCTACAACTAAATCTCGTATGAACTTATTTATGAGGGACACATCATTCAAAGGAAACCTTTGCATCGTAGGAAAGAAGCAATATCAACAAAATATGTTTTGTGGGATGGAGAAAAAAGGAAAAAAAATTATAACAGTAGTGCCAGCCTTTGGGATTAGCGAATCTTATACAGTAACCAAAAAAATCATTTCAAAATACTACAACTACAGAACACCACATAAAAGAATGTATATCCATGAACAGAATTTGGGATTTAAAAAGGTTATTTCACTACAATACAAATGGGAAATGTCACTGTTTATGAAGAATACTTGTCCTCGTTAAAACACATAAAGAACAAAATGGCAACGCAATTGAAAAATACAACTGTTACTGAAGGATATTTCTCTTAAACATAAAAGAACAAAATGGCAATGCAAATTAAAAATATAACTGTTACTGAAGGATAGGCCTACTTAAAAAAGAACCAAAATTATGGCAATACAACTCTGACTGAAGGTTATACTGAAGGTTACTTCTCCTCAACCAAAATGGCAGCGCAAATGAAAAAATACAACTGTTACTGCAGGATACATCTCCTCATAATACATCATGAACAAAATGGCAGCGCAAATGAAAAAAATACAACTGTTACTGATGGATACTTCTCATCATAATAGATCATGAACAAAAATTATGGCAATGCAACTGTTACTGAAGGTTATACTGAAGGTTACTTCTCCTCATGATGATACAAAAAGAACAAAATGACTTTTCGTTTCAAGCACGTACATAATACAATATACAAATCATGTATAACATAAAGCACACTTCCAAATCACCTAATTAACTACTACTGCAGTGAAACAAGAGTCATGTATGGGGATTGATATAGGTTGTCTGTTAATGAAATAGAAGAAGGGTGACACGGCTTTTAGATGATGTCCATTTGCCAGTATCTGTTGCGAAGGAGGGTGGTGAATTCTGACTTCAATGTGATATAAGGCAGTGCCGCATACGAGCGCGGAATGTTCAGAACACACCCACATGTGTGTGCTGTGGGGCAGCGAATCTCTGACTCGGTGAACCTGGTGGTGATCTTCTCTCTGACCGCGAGGTCGGACCCTGTGCAAAATCGCAAGAACAGGCCGAGCAGATTCTGATCCATCTCCCTCACCAGTCTCTTAAGTGAGGAACTCAAGGCGCCTTCTTCTGTGTTCATTGGTTTGGGAAATTCCAATATGTTCAATACCTTCCTGGTTGATGGCTTCAGGTTGTCATAAATCTGACGGAGCTGGAGTCGTGAGAGGCCGAGAGATTTCAGCTTTGGTCGCCAACACAGCGCCACAAATAGTGGTACTTGAAGCATCTCCTTATTTGCCATCTCGGTAAGTGATTTCTCGATGTTCTCGTCTGTAAGGTTTCGTCTGGCATCGTGTCGTTCCATGAAATCCATCATGTCATCTGCATCGACAGATGAAACACTCCTCATTGCATCTTCAAGCAGCAATCGGTCGACATCCGGGAGCAACTGCATGAACGCGTCTAGTGGGTCATCGGGTGTCCCAAAAAATGCCAGTTGCATGAAAGGCAGAGCAAGCCTGACCGGCAAAATTCCCTCCTGTCTGAATGCTAAGCGGATTACTTCTCCCACTGCCGACCAATGGACCTTGGTCATGTCATGGCGTAATACCGGTACGGCTACCGAGTTGCCGATTGTGTACTGCAAATAAAAGCTGTCGAAAAACTCAGTAAGTGCATCCCTCAAGACTCCTCCGTTGTCTTCAGCCATCTCTGTGCTTCCATCTGACTTCAGCATCTTCACTTCGAAGGTTGTTCCTCTCAGGTTGACGTTCTCCTCTTTCGAGAAAAATGTTACCATTTCTTGACAAACGTTGCCACGGTGCACTTTTATTTCTTTTACCAATGGCTGTGTTGCATTTAAGTCCAGTTCCACTGCTGCTGGGAGGGGCCAAACTGAATGATACCGGAGTCGTCGTCGTTTAATCGAGCCAGTTTGGTCCTCTTGAATGAATTCGTCAGGAATGTTATAGGTTGGTGGAGTGAGATTCACAGCATCCGAGTCCAACGTTGCAGCAAATACTGACTGGACATCTAATTCAACGCGGTCTTCAGCAGCTTCGGACAACAGTGGGTTGTTGGAGGGCGATGAGTCATCAGCAGTCTGCACGATGACTTCATTGTCAACTGTCATCTCATCACCTTGATTCAACGGACGGTATCGCTCCGAGTTAGGTTGCCCATGAGAAATGTGGTGGCCGTCACTTGTGCTCGGTACCTCCTCTTGGCTCGAATCAATGGCTGTTGGCATGAGGTTTTCCTCTCCTCTCCGACGTCTGTGAGCAAACATATCAGGTAGATCTTCCAGGCTGTCTTCTGCAGGGTCACTTGCTGACTTATCTTCATCCAGGTCTACTGATTTGGCCAGGAGATAGCATCGTACGTGTTTTAGACCAAGTCTGTCGATCAAATGTTGAATAGTCTCGTTCTCGTGAACGGGTTGGCTACCATGCACATCTGTGGAGACATCTAACTGGAAGTCCCCGAGCGAACCATGATAGTTTTTTCCATCTTGAAAAAAAGGGGCAAAGGGTATGTAGCAATTTCTTTTTGGTGTATTTTTGTCGACAGTAATGTGACGTATCCCCCCACCCATGGGGGCGCGTACCTGCTTGTACCTGGACTCTGTAGCCTCGTAAACAGAGAACCCGACTATTAGGGACCTTGAACTTGTTGATGCCTCTTTCGCTTTCTTGCCTCTCGGGCCCCTCTTTGTTTCTGCTGATTTCTGCGTGCTGTTTGACTGACCGCCGTCACTTGGCCCGGGGGCAGAACTCTCATATTCTTCCTCGCTGTCACTTACAAGTCTGGCTGTTTTTTTCCCTGACTTTCCTGCCATTCGGGACCTGAAGCTCTCGAGCAGTGTAAACTTCCTCTTCTGAGTTTGAGTTTCACTGTTCTCCTTCCGGACGAAAGCCTTAACGACAACTCGGTCACCCTTACGAGGAATGTACTCGCTGAGTTCTTCATCCGTCATTTCAATAATGACATCCTCGTCAATCTGAAACATACAAACAACAAACAAACAAACAAAAAAGTAAAAACAAGAATCTTTTCTAGGCATTGATATACTCCGACTAGAAGGACTGACAAGGAAGACTTAGTCCCGTGACTTAAGAAAAAAATGTGACATGCGGAATTCAAGCACAAATTGTGTGCTGTGGGTCCAAAATAATCGACAGCAGTTGGGTGTCAGGTTTTGGTGGACTAAATTGAGGTCAGGTCATAGTCAAAGTTTGCGCAAAGGGTCTCTGGTGGTTTGCTTTTCTGATTGGGCGGTCTTAACTGCCAGGTATATAATATCCTTTGATGTTATTCCAAATGTAAAATGTCACACTTTTATGTGTGGAAATTCACTTCAACCATAAACAGTATAGTTGACCAACTTTGACCTTAACCTAGACAACAATTAATATGAATTGGCATTCAAAATTGCGACCGGGTCGTACCCGATCACTTTACGAATTAAGAAGAACGGTCAGGACAGCTTTAAGAAAATTCTCAAGAGCCACCGTTGAGGAAAAGAAACGTCTTTTTTTTATCAAGACTCAATTAAACAACATACAGGGTGTCCCAAAAAAATGGTGCAAGTGAAACGCGCCACGTTACCCATTAACCATTCAATATTTGCTACAGATGTTTATATCATCTTCATGATTACTTCATTAGCTTCGAAATGCCGCTTCTTTCATCGTATTTGCTTTAGTTCATGTAGAGATATGTTTGATTAACCACAAACACCTAAAATCAAGTTTGTGCCACTTTTAGAGTATGAATGCTTCTAAGCCCAAACGCTGCCAGTAGTTCACACATGAGAAGAAATCACCCATGTGTGAACTACTGGCACTTGCACCATTTATTTTGGGACACCCTGTATATTTGAATGAAATTAATGCCCCCCCCCACACACACACATTTTTAGGACCATATACAAAAACCCTATGGATATCGTCTAAAAAGGTTTTCCTAAGAAACGTAACATATTTTCCACGTTGATATCATGATTTCTCATTAGAATTTCACTTTTGTTATAAGGAAATAAAGTGGAGGTATTAAAGTAAAATCCATACCGCTTGGATAATTGGATTAGGTCCCTCCAGGAATTCTGCTGAGCACCCTTACCTTTTCGTTCTGCATTTTTTCCAATGTGTCACGCTGCACACCTCGGGCTTTAAGTACACCCCACAGCCGCTCAGACATGCTGAAATGTGCAAACAAAATTAATTTTGCAAACTCGCATTCTCAAATTTGTATCCTTGTGGAGACATTGCTTTGTTTGTTCTCGTGTACAAATAGAAAATAGTGTGGAAATCGAATTTCAAAATGCTGCTGTTCTAACCAGAATCACTCTCCTGGGTTGAAACTTCGACCCAATGTCCCTTTAATATATAAAATACTTCAATTTGCGACGGATCAACACACTTGAAAATTCCTAATTTGTGAGTAAAATCAAAATAATCTATTTCGTGAAATCCTGGTGGATACCTAGTCACCTTTAGAAATTTCCTTGTGTCGACCTTTACAATCTTTTGTTCCATATAATACCCGGGTCTCCACTAGGATACAAATTTCAGGTCATGAAAATCAAAATAAGGGCCGGAAGCCGAAAGAGGTTTACAACTTAAACTTGGTAAAGAAAAAGGAAACCTAGCTGTCAATAATTACAAGAGCAAATCAATGTGCAATGAAGGCCTACAGCTACCTAGGCCAAGTGCCTCAATTTGACTGATGACACGTACATTTACAAGGCACATCCAAAATGCCTGGTACAAAACGAATTTAAGATGTTAATGTTAGTAACATACAGTATGGGCTTGATCTCACCTGACGAGGCTTGCTAATGTACATGTACGCGTCCCCAGTGTCGCCTTTACATACAAGTGGTAGCATCAATACGATCGATCGGACTGACAGACAAGACCGTGCACGCCCGGTCCCCGCTGGCTGTCGAGACCACGTGGTGAACACGAGATATTAAGTTGCGGGCCGCCACATAATAAGTTGCGGGCCGCGACATAATAAGTTGCGGCCGCCACATAATAAGTTGCGGCCGCGACATAATAAGTTGCGGCCGCGACATAATAAGTTGCGGCCGCGACATAATAAGTTGCGGCCGCCACATAATAAGTTGCGGCCGCCACATAATAAGTTGCGGCCGCCACATAATAAGTTGCGGCCGCCACATAATAAGTTGCGGCCGCCACATAATAAGTTGCGGCCGCCACATAATAAGTTGCGGCCGCCACATAATAAGTTGCGGCCGCCACATAATAAGTTGCGGCCGCCACATATTAAGTTGCGGCCGCCAGTTATTAAGTTGCGGCCGCCACATATTAAGTTGCGGCCGCCACATAATAAGTTGCGGCCGCGACATAATAAGTTGCGGCCGCCACATAATAAGTTGCGGCCGCGACATAATAAGTTGCGGCCGCCACATAATAAGTTGCGGCCGCCACATAATAAGTTGCGGCCGCCACATAATAAGTTGCGGCCGCGACATAATAAGTTGCGGCCGCCACATAATAAGTTGCGGCCGCCACATAATAAGTTGCGGCCGCCACATAATAAGTTGCGGCCGCCACATATTAAGTTGCGGCCGCCGCATATTAAGTGGCGGCGATGTACAAAAAAATTCTGACGTGTTTGCAAAAAATATATTCATCCCTTAGGGACTGGCACTATCCGGCTTCCGTATGAATTAGAATTTGCACACAAAACATTATCATTCAGTACTGTTTTTTATTTCTCTATGGTCTATGGTAGTGTGTTATATTACAGGGACAAAGGGATATAAACACAATGCCTTGTCTTCGAGAGTTATGTAAAGAACGACTGTGTGTGTTTACGAGTTGCTCGACGAGCCTCTTGCCCATGAAGCGAGCAACAGGCGGCAAAGCCTACACACCCCATGTAGTGGGCGAAGTGAAGCGTTGTATTGAAGACTTTTTCGGGAATTATCAGAAGTCCAGATATATATGTGGGCAACACATCTTGTGATTTTGATCAAAACTGCAACCATTTCAAAATTTAACGCCAAATTGAAAGTTGCTTTGTTATTGGCTACTAGACATGTGATGTTTAAAGTATACGTTTGAACAAACTTTTAAGTTGAAGTAAGTAGCTAAATATTTTACAGTTGTAATATGAATGTGTTAACTTAGCAAACGTGATATTTATTTTTATAGAATGTGTAGAATTAAAGTGTGTGTATATTATCTAAATTACATTCATGTACACTGTTCACGATCAGAAATCATTCTTGTGTGTTTCTTGTCAAGCACCTGTTTGTAGTATGTAGAATTCTTTCAGTTTGATGGAAAGATACATGCACCTGTACACAAGTATGAAGGACCATGTACATGTACATGTACACTTTATAGTGTATATATATGAAACACATAATATTTCCATTTCATATTTTCATATTTTTATGCACAAACAACAATGCAGCATTTTTTGTAATTTTGTTACCGAAGCAAATCTGATACACGGAAGTTAGCTCTTTCATTTTGTGCTGTAATATTTTTGCACATAAAATTTCTTTGAGATATTTTTTTGCTAAAATTTCAAAATCATTCCATTTAAACTGTGCATTCCATTTTGCTATGTTGTTATTTTGTAAAAACACATTTTAAAAGTTGTGAATTCAAATAATGTTATATTTTCACATGCTTGTTGCACATGTCATCAATTTTTTTTATACCAAGCTGCCAAAGCACATTTTAGTGGGTGGCATTATTTTTGTAATTTATCAAGCAATTTGAAATTTGAAATCATTCCTTTCATAAGTGGTACTTGAATATTTTTGTCAAAATATCATCATAGATTGCAAAAATATTGATGTAATTTCCATAAACATTTACATGTCGATGTAAAAAGCTAGTTTTGTGGATATTTTAATGTTTTTTAATCAAGTTGTTCCATTGCGTTCTAGAGTTTCAAATAGGCTGACGAATGCGAATTAATGATTGTCTTTCATAAAAGCCAAATGCACATAATTGCAAGCGTGTATAATAAATTCCAAAAGTATTTTTAAATCATATTTGCAAATATAAAGAAATATATGCAACTCCATGTTTAATAGCATGATGTAAAAATTTGTACACAAAAATTGTAATTTTAATCAAAAACTGCCAAAATTGCTGATATTGTAAGCTTGATCAGAGCAGTACACCGTGTGCACTGGACATTTTAATGCATATTTTTACTGACACATTGCAACATTAACATTTCACGTCCATCTATGCTGTACATTATTTGTCGGTTGTAGATTTATGCACGTACATGCACATGTATATAAAGAATAGTAAGCTTTAAAATTACTCAGTCATTCAAACAAATTAAAAAGATGTACATGTAGCCCAAAACTTGCCCATTTCCCCACATTGATACTTGTGGAGGGTTTTGTCAGACCTTAAAATTGTGAATTAGACTTGTAAGAAAAAATTCAGATCATGTACGGTAAATTAATGCATGTAGCAGAAACTCAAAAATAGTGTTTTGGCCTCCACTGCCATTTCTTTAATACAAGCACACAAAGCTATGCCCCCTTGAGTGTCTATATATATCTAAAGGAAGTGGGCGTCCGTGTACATATTTGCATCGAGCCTGTTTGGTGACGAGGGTGGGATAATACAATCAGAGTACATACGCAAACCATGCAATGACGTATACATTCCTAAATAAGCCAAGGCAAGGCTGACACTCAATGAACATGGGAAGTGCGTGTGCAATAAAGTCGTGACACCGGTGAATGGGTGATATACATATTCTGATCTAAAAAGCTCAAGCTTTCTGTTTAGATCAGAGAAGATTTGTTTTTGATAGAAGTTAGTAACTCAGGTTAAGTTATAATGTAAAATTCTTCAGTACAAGACTGTATGCACATCGTGCAAAGAAGTAGAAATCAATTTTTAGCTGCTTTTTATAATGTGCATGGGTTCCTGCTAATGCAGTTTTTTTTAAGAATTAACAAAAATTTACAATACAAAAGCTAATGTCTGAAGGGTTTTATTGTGAAGCGAACTGTTTTGCATATTGTAATATGGCTGAATTAGGATATTCTCCAAGTTAACATGGTACAAACAAAATTGTTAGGCCAATTGGATAAAGATAACACTTCTTAAGGTTCACTTTACATGCTTCAGGTTAAAAATTGTTATGCAGCAAAACAAGAACACTGTAAAAAAAAAAATTTAATTTTTACATCTCTGTTCAGTGATAAATTTGCACCAGTTCCTTAACGTTTGTGCACCTTTACCTCTTGAAAACTACTGTACTACATGTAGATCTTTGTTAGAATGTACTTTTTGTATTTTAACATAGTAAAATTTTGTTTTAGTATATATTTATTATATAATAATTATCATATTTTCATAAAGTAGAAATGATATCTGCCACTGCCATGTAGGACTATACATTGTTTGGTTTATGAAATTGAGCACTGTTAGACCATTGTTTAGGTATAAGAACCGGTATGTGTGGGAACATGGTCTCTGTTCACGACATTCATCTTGTGATGTTTCTGTATTCAAATCAGTTCCTTTTAGTCATGTTAGTCAGGTTCAGCTCTTGGTGCATCCTTTTCTCATTTTTCAGGCGTCTGTGGTTGAATCAGCCCAGCCTATCCCCCCAGTCACTTGACATGCATTTTACGCACTGTACTTGTTAAAAATAACTTTTTCAAAGTTTGGAAACACAAACGTAAACAACGCTTGTACTACATATAAAAAAAATCATCCTACTTTTGATCCTAAATAACTCTGTTGTTTACCAATGGAACATTTCAGATAAAACAAGACATGACAAATTAAAGGAGCAATTTAAAACGCCATGCAAAAAAAAAAGGCTCACTTTCAGAATCTGCCACTTTTGACTCGGCGTCCTCCAATGTCGATACAGCGCTGGAGACTTTGCACACCTCCTCGATCCTTTGCCGCAACACACGATCAAGGTGTGCAATAACACCAGGGGTGATCCTGCATTCTTCAACTTCCGGCCGCCGCACGCGCCTTCTGCCACCATCTCCAGCGCTGTACCAACATTCTGAAAGTGACTATTTTTTTCCTATGGCATTTAAATCTCACTCTCTTGCACAAAGCTGATGATAAACTCGCTCCATAAAACTTGCCATGCTTAAATTGTTTACGTGATCTGAAATTTTGGTTTAATTCCATTGGTAAACAACAGAGTTATTTGGGATCAAAATGTGAACATGTTTTTTAGACACGTAGTAGAAGTTACAAGATACGGATGTTGAAATGAACAGTGGCATATTTGGGTTGGGTTTTTTTTGGGGGGGGGCATGGACATGGTGCGATACCCCCTATTGTCCAATGATGTCCCACTTTTTGATTTCTCAACGGCCAGCTGATGACCTGAACAAATTTCCCGGCTTCCTTCCAGCACAGAGAGTCTCCTTGCCCCCCCCCCCCACCCCCAAAGCAAAATCCTACAAACGCCACTGCTTGTGTGAATATATGTTTACACACTTGAATATCCACTGTCCACTGCAGTTATAAAGCTACACGTGTAAAAAAACCCAAAAAACAAAGATGTGCTATTAAAGAATTGCTATTACAGAATTCTAATTATGAATTGACAAAATAAATCATACAGCTGAATTCACTGATTCGTGTTTGTTATTCTGTGTACCAGTATGCAATATTCACATCCAAACAAGACCAAAAAACAATGACAACTGTGCTCCTGTTGTTTCCTTCTATAAAATTTAATTCTTTTCAGTCATGTTAATGAAATTCCACATACCTCATTTAAAAACACGAGTACACTGTTGTCTGTTGTACATGTTATCCTTCTGGAATTTGTTCCTATACA